GAAATATCCTTTTTTAAGGTTGTTAAATTAGAATAATTTTTTGATGATGATTAGTGTGATTAAATATTATTGAATTATTTATTCCTTTTCGGAGTCTTAAATTAAATATTGCTTATTTATGTAGATAATGTAATTTGCTGGTTTAGAATAGTTGTTAATTATTAGATTATTCCAGTTATTAGATTTTGGTGGGAAAATTGTTATTTGAATTTATTTTTTTGTTAAATACAATTATTATGGTGTATAGAATTCTAAATCCATTTTGATAGTGTTATAGTATACTCTAATAATTAATAAAGGTTTTAAGTTGACGTTTATAAGTTGTTGCCACCATTTTGTCTAAAGTACTCATTGCTTTTTTAAACATTCGCTTGATTCTATTTCTTATTGTGTAATTTCTAGATAACAATCTAATATTAGTTAATATCAATTATAAATAGAAATCATTAAATAGCCAAAAATTATACAATACCAAGAAAATACATTTTAAATGCCCATTTTTCTTAAATAAACAAATTCACATTACTTTTAATATATTTCTTTTCGTTTTTAGTCTTCCATTTTCGCCATAATTATGATCACCCGATGTAAAGTTAATAAGATAAAATAAACAACACAAAATAATCAAATTCATTGAACTTTATAGATTATATAAATAAATATTGAACTTAGACATAATATAAAGGTTATTTATGTGCAAAAAAGGAAACACTTAAAGAGTAAAAATACAAACCTAAAATTTTTTTGCTTTTGCTACTGACAAAGTTACCAACTATGAAGAGAAATGCTTTTAGAAACACCAACTTCTAATGAGGCTGTTATTTATACTTTTTATTGTAGATAGATAAGAACAAAATAAACAATTAATCGAAGATATAGCATAATAGAATTTGATAATATTAACTAGGATCAAATGAATAGAATTTAAAAATTGTAGGCAGAATAAGTTTAATATATAATAAAAGCAGAGCGTATCTTAGAAAATATTGTTGATGTGTAAGCTATTATAGACATTACTCAAAAGATGATGGATATTAGTATTCTTTGAGACATGATTAATGATAGCAAAAAAGAGTATAATAAATTATTTTAAAAGAAATAATTAAAATGACAATATATATAGATTGATGAATATTCTGACTTGATTTAAATATAAATTAAAATCACATAATCTGCTTATTAAAATGCTCGAAGATTTTATGAAATTAAAAAGAAAAATAGAGATAAAGAAATAAAAACTAAGGAGGCTGTAGAATAAGCATCAAAATAGCCATTGAAAACTGCTTCGAAAGAAGTAAAAATTTACAATAGAATGAAATGATAGTAAAGAGATATATGAATAAAGATAATATTTATCTGCATGCTAATACTTATGAATCAGCCTCAACAATTATAAAGAATCCTAATGAAGGTCTTATTCCTGAATCAATTATTATGTAAGCAGCTACTGCTGCAATTTGCAGATCTAAATTTTTGGATGCTAAAATTGTTGTTTCTGCGTGGTGGGTACATTGAATCTTAAATTAATAAAGGTGCATCTTTACGTATGAATATATCATCTGGGTCTTTTTGATCTATGGAAAAAAGAATTTTATTTATCCTCCTAGATTGGAAATGGGTTGTACTATTTTTTATTATCACTATCAAGATATTTAGTATGTTCTTCAACAGTTTTAAGATTTCAGTTCTTTCAATTTCGGTTGATGCCTTTTCGAAATATTTAGCCTCTTTAAATTCTCTGACTGTAGAAATAGGTGGTTCTAACTTTATTTTTTATTTCACTTAATTTTCTGATGTTTCTAATTATTTAATATTTTTTTGTTGAATCTTCAATTTCTTATTAATTCAAACCTAATATAACATGATATGTAATAGTATAATTAATTAGGAAGGCACATATAATTTTTTATTTTTAAAATTTTAATTCTTCAACAACTAGTTCTTACGGTTCTTCATTATTTTAAGTAGCTTATAAAACTTATTCTTCAGAAATATCACCTTTCTCCAGTTTACTTTTGCTTATGACGCAGTATAAGAAAAAAAATTTGTTCTTTATTTTTATTAGTTATAGTAATATTAGGTTTAATTTCATGAGTTAATTTCTTCAAATTTCATTTTAGGACTTTTTAGTTTAGTAATATGAAATTAATTGAGATTTCTACCCATGTTTTTCAACAAAATATCCAATTTTAAATTTTTATCATATGAGAATTCCATTATTAGTACTTCCAAATTTCTATTTTTATCCATATAATGTGAATTCTTTATGATAAAAATTTTCATCAACTCCATTTATCTCAATTGAACTGTTGAAGCCAAAACCATGTGTCAATTAAATTGGCCTATCTTGAATGAATGAACTAGATTAGCAGAAGCATGAAAAACAGCACCAAAAGCCATAAATTCATCTTCATATAAGTGTATTTACAATACTACCAAAATAATTTGCTAACACTTATAAGATTTTTGGAATTCTAATGCTTCCATCTATTAATTCTTAAATATTAATATTCTCTTTTGTTTTATTGCATTTTTAATACTTTTTTTATAAGATCAATTAATTAATTGAGTATATCTTTAAATAATATTTCAAATTTTTGATCTTTAAATTTGAATAGGATCAAAATTTTCCAAATTTATATTTTAATTTAAAAATAAAGCAAAATCTAAACAAGTTTTGATTATTTAATTTAATTATGTTTCTTTTTAAATAGAATAAAAAAAATTTTTAATTTACTTTTTTTTTTTGCTGATAAGATTTCTTTTGTATTTATTAGCTGCTTTCAATAATTTATTCATTTCTTTAGAATTATTTTAAAGTTTCAACTTTTTTTATTGAGTATTAATAATTATTCAGCTGATTTTAATGCTCTAAAAATATATTAAATTTGAAATAACGATCTTTAACTAACATTCCATTCACTTGGGACTGTCAATATAATATCTTTGATTTACATTTAATATTAAGATTAACTAATTTATCATCATAGTATTTTTTCCTTCTACTTATATACCATCAACTTAAAAGGTAAAAAAATTCTTTCCCTCTAAATAAGTTGTTTATAACTTTACCTTTTCAATCTCTATTCTAAAATCTTCATAAGACTATATAGAAATTTTAACTCATCATTTGGCTTATGCTCCTAAAATTTTTTTAAGAATGCCAATATATTTGTGGATGATTTTGTTTTTTGGGAGCACCATCACTTTCATATAAAAGCTTGTTATAAAATGCAATCTTAAGTATATATTATTGATCGTACCATTATCTGTTTTTCGTTTGCTTCTGATTGTAAAAGATTTGGCTGGACTTATTAAAATTGCTTTAATGAATTTAGATCCAAAATTACACCATTAGCAATTATCTAAGAGACAAAAGAGCAAGTATTTTATCATTAATAACAGCAATAAATATTCTAGAATAATTTGAAATTCTCTAATATACACTTGTATTCGAAAAGTGTATCAGTTAATTTTCTTAGAAATCTCTTCATATAATAAATCTCACAATTTCTTAATCAAAATTCTTCTTATCTATGATAATCCTTTTATATCAAATGACACTGTATATATTTAAATGTATAAATCTAATCTAAAAATCCTCATTTTCCTAAATAACCAAAAGGCATAATTATTTTTTTCCTGGTTTTTGGCTAGCTTACTTGAAATCATTTGAGCTAACAAAATAATATTTCTAATTTCTTATTGAGTAACTCTAAATTCATCATCATACATAATATCATCAATAGTTCTAATTTAATTATCCAATATTATTCTAATTACTTTGTTTAAACATTAAACTCTTTACTTTTTAGATGATCAATTGCATCCTTAAATAAATCTATACAATTATCAAAACCTTTCACTGCTTCTTTTAAATCATTCATTGTCATTAAAATTTTAACAATTCAATAATACCTCTTAAGAAGAGGACATCAATTATTTATTCATATTCCTTTCATCATACTTCAGATTTGCAAAATATATCAAAATCTTGTAACTACATCTTCTAAAGTGATTTATTTATATATTCTGGTTTCATTTCTCTAAAAAAATTCTTAATATCATTCAATGTCTATTTTCATGCAAATTTTCTATACATCCTAAAATTCATAAAATACATTCTTATTGGTGAATAAATCAAAGCACCTCTATATAAACGACAATAATCATCTTTTTCCAACATTTTAATATTTTTTGTTTCGAAACCAACCTAATCGATTTAAATATATTAAATATATTTCAATATCAATTGTATTCTTTAATCCTTATATCATATTTACTATATTATCAATCATATAACTGCATCTATATTACGAATCAAATATATTACCTTAAATAAAACAATTACTTTGTAAATGTTCTTTTATATAATGCTTCTATACATTCAAATTCATCACACAATTTTTTCTTTAATCATTATCTCAATATTGAAATTGAATCTAAGGATTATCAGCTTATAAGTAATTCTTTATTCCATATTTCTAAATACTTGATAGTCTGTTTCCTCTAAAGTTATTTTAATTCTGGAATTAAAGCTCAATGTTTCATTTATTGATTGATAACTCCAGTCAAAAAACTAAGCTCTTCATATTACTACTATTATTAACAATCTATCTTTAGATTAAATGTAATGCATTTTCTTATATTTCATCTATTTCTTATAACTTCCTCAAGGATTTAAAGTATTTTATTTGGCAATCACTCTTTAAATTCACCTATTTTAAGCCAACTATATCTCGCCAATTCTTATTAAAATGCACCTTCAACTCTTGAAATATTTTTATATTGTATTAAGCCTTTTAATACTCATTATTTAAAACCACTAATATAATTATAAATCCATAATTATTTTTAATTAAAAGTAATTCTATAAATCCTAAATTTTATTTCCAACCATCATTCATTATTCCAATGATAATAAATTCTCAATAACTCTTCAACCTAAAACCATTATCTTTAATTTCATTGTTTTAGCATATTAATTTAATTAATGAAAACGCCCGATCATTTTAATACCATCTAGTAAATGCAAAATCTCCATCAACTTTCTTCTTCCAACAAAAATACCATCATTTAATTTAAAATTTATAATCTTCCATCTTATCCGATTTTCCTTTTATTATAAACCAAAATATCTTTCTGTATTAATTTTTATAACTGATAATATCTTTTTTTTAATGTTCCATCAGCTAATTTTGACCCTTATTCCATTTTCCATTAAGTTAATGATTAAACATTTTCTATTTCTTTAAGAATCCTTTTACTTTATATTATATCCAATTTCTATTCTAAGCTTTAAAATTATAAAATCTACTATTAAGTTTTTTTGCATTTATTTTATGTCTTATTAAAAAAAGATCTCCATCTAACAGGATCACTATTATACTTCAAACATTCTAATAGATTTCTATTTTCATCCTTATTATCATTAAAATTAGATGGATTTTCATTCTCTACTATTCTTCTTAAAAATTTTTCGAACAACTTATTAATCAAGAATCTAATCACCCATTTTCATTTACTCAAGGTTAATATGATGTGCTGTCAATATTCTTTCCTGTTTCCTTGTTCTAAGATTCTAATGAAAACTTTTTCTTTTAATTTATAAGGCTCCTCTCCCTTTCATTCATATATTTTTTAATTTAATTAATGGCTTTTATAATTAATTATTTTAACTTCTTTCCTTGAATATCCCTATAAAATTTTGCTTTGAGAAAATATTTA